TGCAGTTCTTTCACTTTTTACCCAATACTATTGAATTTGATATTAAATCCTAAAGACTGCTCAGTTCCCAAGTGGAAAATGAGACACTGTTCTTCAAGTCTTGTCAGTGTACTGCAGCAAGCCTAAGACCAAAATGTTGACCAAGGAGCACAATGGTGTTTTGAAGTGACAGGCAACTGGAAGCTTGCAGGCATTTTTATGGACAGAATGTAGGTGTTCTGCAAAGTGGTCAAGCAGTCTGAGTTTTGTTTTTCCAATGTAGAGGAGGTCACGTTGTGAGTAGCAGGAGTTGAACCTGTGTTTTTTGTGTCACTCTACATTGCAGACCAGGCATCCAGCCAACTGAACTCATGATTGGGGGAATGCTGAACCGTCAGTGGGCTGGTCTTGAGGGTGTGCTGGGTGGCCAGCTCTCATGAGACATTAATTGAAATTCCTATCTGACTTGTCAGATGGACATTGAAGTGCCCACTATTATTATTCTGGAAAAGCACAGTGTTCTCAGTGTCCTGGCCATTATTCATCTCTCAATAAGTATGTTAAAAATTCTTAGTATGTTATTGTATTAATATTCATGCTCTGAGTAAACTGTAGAATTGTCATGCCTGTGTAAGAGCAACTTGGGCTGTCCTGTGCCCTAGCCTTTTCCTGTAGTACAATGTATTTCTCTTCAGATGTTTGTCCAGTTCTGTTGAAAGCTATGGTTGAATCTCCCTCCACTGCTCGATTAGGCAGTAGAGTCGGTCATGTCTTTCTGTTAAATTAGCTCACTTCACATTTTTTGATACTGAAATGTTCACGCCTTTGTCAAAACTCTGATGCCAAACTCTAGCCTTACAAGTCTTTCCTGCCCTTCCTCCCATGGCTTGAATTGGCTGCATAGTTTGTTATTCTGTTTGCCTTGCTGGTTGCTGGTCTGCAATAATGGAACATTTGATTTTTGTTAAAACTCTGGCGCACCTTAATTTTAGCTGTTTCAGCTATTCATGGTGTCTTGGTCATTGTGGGCTCCTTCTTTAACATCACAGTTACCATTGTATGTTTTATTTCACTGATACTTTGACACTGTAAGGTAATAGTTAACGATTGCTTTTTGATGCTTATTTAGCAAAGAATATCAGTTGAAAATTTCTAACAAATGGTATGATTCTCAAATTTGGAAGTAAATTGAGGAAATGGGCTTTCATAGAAAATGTGTTTTACAAAATTCTGGATTGTAGCATCATGGAAACATAAGTGGCAAGGTTGAAAATATAATTGGGTATCTAAGAAGATCAATTCCTGATTTTTTTTTTTCTTGAACTGTTCACGCTGTTCAGACATTTTGATTTGTTAAATATGAATTTTAGTTGTGCATATTCTTGGTTTTGTGTTATACGGAGCCAAGATTAAATTCAAATCAGCTGCTGAAGATGGCTTACAGATACTCATGCACAGTATTTTCTTGGTGTTGCAGCATATAAGGGCATTATAAGGGCACCAGAGCATTATTCTCCTTGGTACTTTCGGTTCTGATATTGAGACCATTGTGTTCCACCATCATCAAATGTGCTTTGCAAGTCTGTTCCCTCTTAAGATGAGCCTTGCCAAATCTGCTCCTAATTATGTTTAGTAAATTTTTGTTTATTCACTCTTTGCAGCATTTTTTATTTTTCTGCCCAACTGATCCTTTCAATTCTCCTTCAAAGAGGCATTTCAAATAAATTTAACAAGTTCACCTTTTTCCATAAGGCCCAAGTCTTTTAGACCATTGCTCCAGATCGAGCCCTGTACAAGTTGCATCTTGGCAGTTGTTTGTACTCCCCAGCTTGATAATTGTCTTGTTGTGAATTATTATAACAGAAAATACATGGGCTCAGGCACATAGGAATCAGCAGACCTGAAGATTCAACACAGGATAGTGTTGCATAAGGTTTTTGTGTCCAGTTCACTATCACCTAGGACAGAGAACAATCCCTTGATCAATCATCAACCTTTGCAATAACCGGAACTTAGATTTATATAGTACCTTCAATAAACATGTCAAGGTGATTCAGGAAAGCAGCGTAACAAAATATTGTACTCCGATACAAAGCATAATAAAGGCAGTTAACCAAAGACTTGATCAAAGAGGTAGGCTCTAAGGAGTCTTTTGAAGTCAGAAAGAGAATTTTATGCAGGACCTTAGCAGTTGATATTACGCTACCAATGGTTGAGCAATTATAATTGAAATATTCAAATGCCAAAATTGGAACAACGTGATATTTAGAAGGGTTGTGGGGCTGGGAAATTCAAAGCTATGGAGGGATTTGGAAATAAGTATGAGAATTGTTAATCTGAGACCCTAATTAATTGAGGGGTCATTGGAGCACAGTGAGTGTATAGAACATGAACCACAGACTTTTAGACGACATCAAATTTACCGAGGGTGGAATGCGGGAGATCAACCGGAAATGCATTGAAGTAGTTATTCCTAGTGGTAACAAATGAACGGATGGGGATTTAAGCAGCAGGTAATCTAAGGCAGGGGAGGAGTCGGAGACCATATTTCATAAGAACAGAAATAGTTCGGTCAACCCATCTGCCACCCAATGAGATTTTATCTGATAATCCTCAAATCCATTTTTCTGCCTTTTTCCCCATAGTCTGTGAAACCCTAATTGCTTAAAGAATTTTCTATCTTAGCCTTAATATGCTAATGACTCAGTCTCTGCAGTCCTCTGTGATAGAGTTTGACAGCTTTACTACCCTCTGAGACAAGAAATTCCTCTTTTTGTCTTTAGTTTAAATGGGTGACTCTTTAAACTGAGATTATGACCTCTGGTCCTAGACTCTTGCTGAAAGGATAATAACATTTCAGCACCTACCCTGTCAAGCCCTCTAATGCCAAAGAGATGAAGATAGATACCAATTAGCTTAAATATTTGCTCCCCTCATCATTTGTGTACTGTATACAAATACTCTCAGCATTTCCAAACCAATGACTATCATTGCTTAACAGGCAAGGACAGCACATGCATGGGAAATGCACTAGCTCCACAATTTCCTCTAAGTCACATGCCATTCTACTTGCATGTATCACTGATTCCTTTATGATTGCTTAGTCAAAATAATGGACCTCCTGGCCGAACAGCTTTGTGAACGAACCATCATCTCAGTCCACAGTGGTTGAATAAGAAATACTACCATCAAATTAATGTGGGTTAAATTGAGTTCCAGCTTTGCCAGCTGTATCCAAATTCTGAGAATGAATCAAAAACTTTTGAGAATTGTTGGAGGATGTCTGATCCTGTGAAACCACAGGGCTAGAGTCATACAGTCATAGCATGGAAACAGACGCTTGGGTCCAACTAGTCCATGCTGAATATAATCCCAAACTAAACTAGTTCTACCTGCCTGCTCCTGGTCTGTATCCCTCCAAACCTTTCGTATTCATGTACTTATGCAAATATCTTTTTAAACATTCTAATTGTACCCACATCCACCACTTCCACATGCAAACCGCTGTCTGTGTAAATAAAATTTTCCCCTCATGTCTTTTTTTAAAATCTCTCCTGTCACCTTAAAAATGTTCCCCCTGGTCTTGAAATCCCCCATCCTCGGGAAAAGACAACTATAATTGGCTCTATCTATACCCTTCATTATTTTATAAACTTCAATAAGGTCTCCTCTCAACATCCTACTGGGAAAAAGTCCCAGCCTTTCTTTATAACTCAAACCTTCCAC